AGTACCAGAATGTCCTATCACAGAGACTTTAATCTATTGACTGAGTACCAGAATGTCCTACAAGAGAGACATTAACCTATTGACTGAGTACCAGAATATCCTACAACAGAGAAGTTAATCTGTTGGAAAACTATATACTCCGGAGTCAATAGTTGTAATAGGAAAATAGACTACTTATTTAAGGAATCAATGTTTCAACTCCTAATTGCCGTGGTCTGTTCATTTTATTTTGGTTTTGGATTTTGCTTTGTCGTATTTTGTACCCAACCTTTTATTACTGTTACGCAAAATTGAGAATGGAAACGGGGAATATGTCAAAAAGTCAACAACCCGACCAAAGAGCTGTGTAAAGCGTTTGATACAGTTTTTTTTTTAAATGTTACTTAATCAGAGCTATACAATTGTCAATTAAAAAACACCGATATAAAACAAATCATTTTCTATAGTGTTTTTTATGCTTTTGGTTAACTGTTGAAAATTATAGAAGCGTCAATAATTTTCTGATTATCGTTGATGGAGGCAGGATCAAATGCCCGGTTGGTATCTAGGGTATATATAAGGATGACCAATATTCTGGTTATTCACAACATGATTGATCTGACTAATTGCCTGTATTTTTTTTTTAATTACAAAATGATCATTTGCAAACTCCATGGCGATTCGTTTAAAAATCCATAAAATAGTTCCACCGTAAAATGATGGGGCAAAGCTACGACATAATGTTGACTTGTTTACAAATGCAGTCGAATGAATTTCGCTGAATTTAGTTCGATATTTTCATTTAGTTCATTGTAATTGACACATACAAACAAATGTTTACTTTTTGTTCGATTAAGAAACGAAAATTGTTCATTTCCTGAGACTATTTTAGACATTGTCAAAGTAAGAACTGTTATGTAAAAATTGAAATCAAATAAAAGTTTTGAATAAGAAGTGAAATATTTTAATGAAGCACTTTTAAGAAGAATATATTGATTATTTTGTATCGTGCGCTACTGTTAGTTTTTTAACTTGCTTCAAAAAATCATCAGGACACTTGATTCGAAAACGAAACATTATCAATTATTTGTCAATGTCAACTAATATTTTGAATAACACTACTTATGTTTTCGTATCCAGGACATGTTTTTAATATTAATATCAAACAATTATTGTAAGTATGTAAACAAATGGATAGATATAAACTTATACTGGAAGACAAATTCAATTTACCATTTTATAATAAGTGCAATCCACGAGAAGAAAGGAAAAGCTTTTCATTATAGATGTAAACCTTGTCTTTAACGATAGCGTCGAAACTTTTCTCAATATAAAATGTTTGTAGATTTTATCTATGTTTCATTTCTTTGAATTGTAGATTATAAGTGTCCAGATGATCAAGTTAAATGTAGGGATAACATAGAGTGTATTTATAAATCAGGCCTATGCAATCAATATACTAATTGCCACGACGGATCTGACGAGGATGAAGAATTGTGTAAAGGTATATGCATGTATAAAAGGTCATGTAGGGTATTTGCATTAATTAGATGTATTTAAAACAATAAAACTTCAAAAGATATTTGATTTATTTTCGTAAGACATATATGGTTAACGAGTGCCTGTTTAATAAGTCTAGCTGTCAAACGCGTTAAATATGCAAACCTTTAACAAATGTATATATATAAGACTCAAGTTATCGGCCTGATAATATGAACAAACAAAACAATGTTCTTGTTTATTCGTTTTATATTTTCGGAGCCTTTTATAGCTCACTATGTGGTATGGAATTTACTAATCGTTGCAGGTAATTTGATCTCTGGTGGAGTTTTGTCTCATAAGCAATCTTCTTATTCTATCAAATCAAAAACAAACCTAAACAACAAACAAAAACAAAAACAAACAACAAACAAAAACAAACCAGCATATTATAGGTTTAAAATGCAAAAAACGATTTATCAATTTTTCGCGTCCAAAGCGCTTTTGTGGATTAACCTTCATCGGAAATATAACAGCCAAACATTTTTAAGCCTTATGAATACATACCGACTTAAAAGTCAAATATGCATGAGGTCAACTTTGCTTGCCGGAGGTAAAACAATAGTTTGTTTATAATTTAAGAATTAATAAAGACCATACACATTTTAATTTATTCTATGCAGCCTTTCCTTGTGAATACTACCAGGTCAAGTGCGCAAATGGTCTTCAATGTGTCCATAATTCTACTTTTTGCGATGGAGTGAAACATTGTGCAGACGGTTCTGATGAAGAGGAAGAGGTGTGCAAAGGTTTGTTAAAAGAAATCAAGTGTTTATTTTACATAACATAGCCAGAGTTTATAATTTTACGTTAAGGATTAAACATCCCATTTATTTGGAGTGTTGATACGAGTGAGAGAAAAATGATAAGTGATGAAAATAAAATACTTTTCAAGAACATGAATCCGATCAATTTTATCAAATATTTCAAAAGTAATTTTGTTCTTAATTGTTCTACTTAAACTATATAAAGATCAAAAAACAAATCAAATACCATTGGAAATAGTTTTGCGTTTGCCAAATGATACTTTCCTCGGATACACGTTGGACTTTTGCAGATTAACCTTACTTTCAAAACTAAGATCCCAAATTCTAAACATTTAATTCCGACTTATGACTTGTGTCTGTATTATTTTTAATTAGAATGCCCGCACTTCATCTATTTTTCATATATCTCAGGATATATTGTGTAAGAACAATATTGGATTACATCAACCAAAACTGATCATATTTGCAAATAAAGAAATCAAATGGCGGTATCATAAATTATTAAATTTGTTAACTCATGATGGATTGTATAATACAAATGACAGCAATGTTGGTACACATTAAAAACACAAATGTGTCTGCATCAGTTTAGAGTGCCAACAATTTCCTCTTTTATGTCAAAGTACTGAACCGTCATTACAAATCAGTATTTTTGATATCTCAGGATGGTTTGTGGAATCATTTTGTCTGCATCAATCAAAGGTTACAATATTTATACTTTGTAATATAAATGATATGGCGGTATCATAAATCAGTAAATTTGTTAACTAAGGATGATTGTATAATACAAATGCAAGCGACATTGGTACACATTGACTACAAAGTTTTGTCCGCCTTAATTTCGAGTGTCAACACTTCCTTCTTTTAGCCAAAATACTAAACTGTCACTAAAAGAAAGTAGATCATATATCTTGAGATAGTTTGTATAACAAACCGTTGTGTTCGTATTGATCAAAAGTTACCATATTCGGAATTCATAATGAAAATGGTAAAGCTGTATGATAAAAAGGTAAATAAGCCGAAATTGGCTAGAAGATTCAGAAAATTATACAACGCCTATATCCTGACACTATACAACTGCCGTCGAAAATATAATCGAATCAAAGGTAAACAATGTGATTCACATTGAATAATCCATTTATTTCATAGACAATATATATTAAGAAGAGAGTGTAAACAATGGGAAACGAAGCAACTTAAACAATGTTTTACTATCCCATCATATAAATTCGATTTTCCAAAGCATGTATAACCTTTTTATACGCATTCGGATTACAAAAACAAATTCTCTCAGGTATGAAATTCAGAGAAAACAAATTTGAGTCACATGGTAACTAGAATAGTACTTTAATATATTGTTAAATAGAACAATACGATTATCATTTATATAATCAAAGGTCATGTCTGATAATAAAAGTGTTAACAATTACTAGCCCAACAATCTTTCGTAATTACTAATCTGTCCTTATGTAAGTTCTGGAGCTGACCATACATAAGGACCGTTCAAAAGCATTCATGTTCAAAGGTCTGGTCTGGAACAGACTTGTCAGTAGGTCTGTATCAGTCATGAAAAAGTAGATTTAGGTCCTCTTTACCACTGATGAAGTTAACTGGCTTGTCTGCCGTCTTTTGTTTTGTTAACTTGAACAGCAGTCAAAAATTCGGCGCCAAGTCAATTTAAGTACAGGTTCGGACTGCGGCCATCGTTCAATTAAATGTAAATCAAAGGATACAAGTATGATCCCTGTAATGTCATGATTAACCCAGATTAAAATGCAGACTTGAGTTTGTGAAATTATTAAATTCACTTGATATTAGTCTTGTTTTGCTTCCACTTTCGGGTTTTCTGTTCAATTAACCATCTTAAATATTCTTTTAAGGTTTGAATTCAAAATGGTTATTTCCTCCGTAAATTTCATTGCAATACTAGAACCAAACGTCTTTAATGCACACTTTAACTGTCGATTTTTGTTATCGCTTCAAATAAAAGATATTATTACAGATAAACATATATAATAATTTATTTTAGTTCTCAATTATCTTTTTTTTCAGACAAACGATAGGGAATGATTATTCTAAATAATTTTTAAACTGTTGAAAACATAAGTGGCACCCTCCGCAGTGAAAATCTCATAAAATCAGAGAGAAAAAAATCATTTCAAACAAGGAAGTAAAAATTTACCAAACACTTAATTACATCAAGGGCAAAGACTATAAATATAAGTCGAAAATGAGCAAATAACTACATCATCAAAAAGGTAAACGACAAAAAAATATATATATATAAAGAGTGTACAAAACACTTCACAGAAATGTAATATATAATTAACCATAGCAGAAAAAGTTTGTTTCAACTAAGGAGGAAAATGGCGGGTTTTTGTTTAGCAAACAATATTATGATTCAGTAAAATACGAAATAAAAAAACGCTTTAATTGTTGTTTTTCATCCAGTTAGCATATATCGTTTATCGCAGTTCGCGCTTTTTCTTAGTGCAATTGTTTTTCAAAACAATTACAGATTTTATGTCGACAGTAGGCTTACAATAGTACATGGTGTTTACTCATTTATGAAACAGAGCAGTGGCAGTTAGTCCCACATTTAGATCTTTTGATCTATTTATACTATGTGTATGATAGTTATGTATAACATGTTTTAAACCCATATAAAAAGCTAAATAATTTGATTTTAAACAGGTTTTTAAATTTTATGTTTAGCATATGTTTGCCCTGAGTGGAAAAGGAAATGTGCTGATGGACAACAATGTGTCGACGAACAAAATAGTTTGTGTAATGGAAATGTAGATTGTAACGATAAGTCAGATGAAGATCAAGGCTTTTGTCGAGGTACTTTTGTTGTTTTATATCGTTAAGGAGATATGCTGCTAATTCTATTTATACAGTATATCTGCCAAATTAATTATAATATTCAATATATCACAATACTTTGATAACAATCAAAATCAACAAAAAAACGGTATTGTTGCATGTTTAAAAAAAAAACAAACAAAAAACAAAAAACAGCAATTTTAAAACATAACTTTTGGCATGGTAATGTATCCTTATTTCATATCAGTTTTGGTAAAATTGATGTTGAAACTGGATACAATAATGTGTCAGATGTGTATACAGAGGCATTAGTGGGAACAGACTCGGTTTCCTAATGCAAAAACAAAAAAATGAATAAATATCATTATAATCACATATACTTATTTTTAGCTGCGCAAAACTATTATATGCTTGATATAACAACTCTGTTCATGTCTGAATTATCATTTGATTATATTTTACATTGCATACACATATCTAGATTATAGCTGCAGTGATTACAATCGAAAATGTTCTGACGGATTGCAATGTATCGGTGATTACAGCTTATGTGACGGCCATGAAGATTGTACAGATAAATCAGATGAAGATCCAGACGTTTGTAGAGGTATATTGAAAAATAAAATGTGAGGTTAAAACCATGCAACGTTTTTTTTTCAATCTGTTTATACACAGAAACTCGCAGGCCGCACGAGAACATTTTTTTTCTGGTTTATTCATGTTATTTGCACCATCTTCCTTTTTACAGATTGATGCATATTTTGCCGTTTTTTCAAATTTTGCTATGGCATTTTAATTATGTTTTTTTTTCGACTTAGGAGTTTGAATATCTCTTTTACATGATGACAGTTCCTAAATGGTGGTAACTTCACACATAAACAATACACCTAATACCATGCCACCTATTTCCTGCACCATTGTATTACATCACTAACAGAACATAAAATAGACGGCAATGACGCAATGACTCCTGTTTTTTAACCAACCAGACGTTATACGCGTTCACATGGAAATTGTACACCATTTAAAGACGTACAGGTCGTCACAAGGTTTATCGTTTTAAAAACAGTACACCAAACGGATACATGCAGTATATGAGAGATCTTTTTAAACAAATTGTAGAAAATTAGAAATTTAGATCGGTATAATGTATTGCTATAATCGGTTTCAGACGTATTCCTACGAGTCATTTTTTCCAATGTTAGTAGGGCAGGACCATGAAATCATGCCGAAGCTCCTCTTGTAAATCACAGCTAGTTGACTAGAAATGTGTACCTGAAATGAAAAGAAATCAATTTAAGGGAAGCAAATGAACTCGTGTAATAATTACGGTAAAAACAAATACGTTTAACCAACGAGTGCAAATGGAATCTGCTGTCCTATACACCAATATTATGATAGATTCACGTCTAATAATATCATATATACTGATATCACCAGCACCAAAAGACGCAACATTCTGTAATTTTTCTTTTTAATATGTTTGATTGAGTTTATCTACATACCCGTTTAATCTTCATTTAAATTTCATAAAAAAAAAAAAAAAAAATATATACAAAAACAAAAACAAACACTTTTGCTGAAACATGAATAACTTCTTTTTTGCAGCAAGGGAATGTGACAGAGTCAAAGTGAAATGTGATGATGGCATACAATGCATTTATAAATCAAATGTATGTAACAAATACACACATTGTAATGACAAATCTGATGAGAATGAAGATATGTGTAAAGGTGAGATATTGTGAGTCAGATGTCTGTTTTTGAGAATTTTGAATTTGGATGTGTATCTGTATGGTGATTTGTTGACAAAAAAACATTAAAAGTTTGGCATGTTGTTATTTCATTGCAATGTTTTCGTTATAGAACAGTAGGAGGAGAATCAATTCTTAAACATAATTTTTTTTTAACATGCATAAAAAGAGGCTTTTGTTATAGATCTGCCAGACTGCAACCCGACGACATAAATATCCTTTTGAAGAAAAAAAAAAATGTTACATATTTGGATAGGAATTATTGTTACTACTAATCTTTTGCAATAATGATTTAGATGACAATCCTTAATATGCAACAGTAAATAATTATAGATTAAGACATGTCTTTTTCTATCGGCTCCGGTATCATCCCGAGACTCTCATAATAAACGCAAGGCGCTGATACCAGGGCTCATATGGCAAACCACGTGTTATTATATATTTATCACATATCATATAAATGCTTAAAAAAGTAGAACAAACTTTAACAAGTTTTGTCCTCCATTAAAATAAATTTATTATGAGTCCCCAGGCCGTTTAAATTTGTAGTACTTGAATTTTATGATACCAATGTGAGATTTTCTTTTAGTAGCAGTGTTCACAATTTCATTAACACCTTCCGCTCTTATTAAATCGACGTTCCTCGTCCATCATTGTTGTCTTCACAAAACTCAGATTGCATAAAATGAACATTGAGACACACAGTTTATAAAAGGACACAATAACAGCTTATGAGTCATAACAGAACACAATAACTGCTGATGACGTCACTACATGGCACATTAACTGCAGATTTGCCCCAGTCATATTCCTGTTTGGGGTTAAAATGCAAAACCTGAAACTCAGATTGCATATAATGTGAGTTGAGGCGCGCATTTCTTCTACACAAAACTCAGATTGCATACAATGAACATTGAGACACAAAAAGTTAGAGCTTAGACTAAACAGATCATAATTGACCGCAAGCACAAAGTCCAGTGGGTGTGAAACTAATAAAAGGCATATATTTTCTCGGTGTTGTAAACAAGGCATAATTTTCAGTTTTGTCTACATTTTTTTATGACGACTCAGTTCGGAAAAAGTATTTTCTGATTGAAAACTTCCATACTGAGAATTGACTACATTGTAGGAAATCAAATGTTTTCCGATCTGTATTTTTGACACGGAAAGAAATATTGCTTTGATTTTTTTCTGGAGTTCATTTTTTATAATGTTGTTCTGGTACTATTTGTTACACTTAGTTCATCACGGATACGAACTACTTATGTTAAACATTTTTAAGGTTCTCAAATAAGTATTAACGATATTAAACTGTTTATTTAAACCAGGACTGAGACATTTGCAGGGTAAATATTGCAACATTTGTTTTTACTTTTTTTTTAAATTTTATGTAGAGGGATAATATAGGGGTAGGTTGAATTATCAGGCTATTTTGATAAAGTGTTTTAATGTGATGAATGTATACGTCAATTACAGATAGAATTTGTGAACCAGGCGAGAAAAAGTGTGCAGACAATTATCAGTGTATAAACATAGATAATTTTTGTAATGGATATACGGACTGTAATGATGAGTCTGACGAAGATGCAGTTGCCTGTAAAGGTATTTTCTTTTACATTTAACTTACTGTTAATGTACATATACATTTAATCAATTTCTTTTTGTGTACAGCACTGTGTATTTCTACATGCTCTTGACTCTGAGATTCAGTTTTTAAGACCAACACATTTATTTGATTATCAATCTTAATTTCCCACGTATATCATTTAAATAATAAACAAAATAATAATTTCCTAAAAATTTTTAAATTGATATATTGTATACAACTTCATTCCTGTCATATAGTTATTTATTATCAATGATTACACCATAAAGATTTGAGGAAGAGCGCCACGCACCACTGTTAAAAACGTTGAACATATGATAAAGAAAGGTATATTGCTATAGAAAATAAACTTATTGACTTGGTAAGTTAAACATTGTAAGAGTATTATCAATCACATCCAAACTGGACAGAAGACTGAATTAGAACCATCTTCAAGTTATGGATGTCATAGACATAGTTCAAATAAATGTGAAAGATATTCGACAAGACATACCGATTATAAATCGGATGGAATGTTCTAGTTGTTGTTTTCTAGAATACCAATGTCCAAGTGGTAGAGTTAAATGTGCGGATGGAATAGAATGTGTACGTATAGACAATATTTGTGACGGCCATGGAGATTGTCGTGATGGTAGTGACGAAGATAAAGTAAAATGCAAAGGTAAACACTCATCATAACATAGGAGGAATCAATAAAAGAAGTATATTCAACAAGAAGTTTATCCCCTATCACCCGAAACAAATTGTTGGTCTTTAATACCCCCATTTTCATAGTTTCGGTTTGTCAATTTAAGTCATATTTGCGGAATCAATCGTTAGACATTTTGTTACATACTATATTTTGTATGCAACAATGAAAATCCCTCTGCGTGCAGTGCAATATAATTCTTGATAAAAGATAAAAGGCGTGTGTTAATAAATTTTTGTAAAAAGTTGCAGTTGGGTGGTTACTGTAGGATTCTTTTCATTAGTTAAACATGTAAAAGCATAAATGTTTCAGACACAAAGAGGTATTTCTGATCGTATCCGTATTTGACGATGGATCCTTTTACTTTATGTCCATATTCTCATACTCTCAGATATATTACACTAAGAAATATGCAGTTTTCTCTTGAACTTATTTCAATATACTAAATCCTTATTGCAAAATATTTTACACATCAACATTGATATAGGTCCTTTTTGAGGTTGAGAAATACAAGGTTCGTTTGATCGGATTATGAAGGTTGAATTTTATGCCGGTAATAAGTTTGATTTGATTTATATTTTTGGTGTTTAACGCCACTATTAAGCACCGCTTTTGGGCTATTTCGTGGCGGCCAGTTTTTATTGGTGGAGGAAGCCGGTGTGCCCGGAGAAAACCACCGACCTTCGATAGGAAAACTGACAATCATAATCAATTAAGATTGGAGTCGAGTGCACCCGCACGAACGGTGTTCGAACTCACAACCTCAGTGTTGACTGGCTAGTGATTACAGTAGTAACTACTTAGACCACTCGGCCACCGAGGCCCCCGCCGGTAATAAGTGACTCAGTGCATGTTAAAGAACCATTGTAAGAATGTTTCAATTTTCTATAGAAAGACTGCAAGCAAAAATCTCATTCAAAACATTCATGTCAAGCGTTTTTATTTTTTTCAATTTTAATAACTGTTTTAATACTTTGCCCATTATACCTCTTTAATTCCCTGTTTAATGTTTATATCTCCTAAGTATGCATTCAAGTTAACAAAGGTTCGTGAATATTTTCGAATGTTTTGACGGTGTAAGAACAAATGGTCAAATATGTGCCGAAGGTCGCAGTTTTGCAACCAATCATGACATTCGAATATCAATTGAATAAAAACTGTGTATGATTAATCCTGTTTTCCATTAATGAATATAGACCGGTTAAAGTTTAGAAAGTAATTTGTATCAACCATCCCCTATCATAGGAAGTGTAACGGGCATGATCATTGTTCACAAGGCGTTAATGGATCATGTAAATGATTGCAATCAATGACAAAACGTACGAAGAATGGTCGCAGACTAAATTTGGCGCTATAAACAACATTCAAAATGTGAGACAATTGTCATTGCAGTTCGTTATAGTAAAGTATAAATAATTACATGAAATTATTCTCTCAGTTAGTACAATTACGATACCTTGTTTCTATGTGTCATTAAATAACAAATACTATACCGCTGAAATTTGTAGCTCTATATTCTTAATTTTGTACCCTGATTGAATCATTTCTTTCAGCAAGAGAATGTGCTTATGGTTCTAGAAAGTGTAATGATGATTACCGTTGTATTAATGAAGAACGGTGGTGTGATGGACGTGATGAGTGTTCAACAGGAGAAGACGAAGAACCAGATATGTGCTTACGTAAATATGCATCTTAGTTATCCTGATTATAAGGTGCTGTGTTTGCAAACCGTGCTACAAAATCTAAATAACTGAACAATAACTCATTAGTGGGAAAAAATGTAAACATATAAAACTTATAAAAAAGTAAAACAACAAAAATACCGAGCTCCAAGGAATATTCAAAACGGAAAGTCCCTTATCAAAAGTCAACATCAAAAGCTCAAATACATCAAACGAATAGAATATCTGTCATATTCCTGATTTGGTACACGCATTTCCTTATGTAGAAAATAGTGGATGAAAACTTGTTTTATAGCTAGCTCACTTGTATTACAGTCGCTTAAAGTTCCATTATATTGACAACAATGTACTAAAATCAAACAGACATAATAGATAAAAATGTCAAAAATTGGAAGCAAACAGTCAACATTGTGTTTTAACATATTAAAATGTATAGCATAATTAGGTATAAATCTTCTATTCAGTTTGTTTAACTTAGTGTCACATATTGTCTCAAAATAAATATATAAACTTTTTTAAAACATTCTAGAATATTATCGATACTTGTGAAACTCTGATACCTCTGAAAACGTTCTAATAGCTTTCAATTATATAACAATAGGTCTATAGATAGACAGATAACAGTTAACATTAGCCTCGTTCTAGATCACACACACACACACAAACATACACACATACACACAAACACTTGTAAACATTTTCATTTGATATCCGGCTCTAGAAGTTGAACTTATTACAAAATGTTCAGCATCACTTATATAAAGCTTAAATATTAGACGTATGCATTGGTAGTGGTTGGTGAAATGTTAAATATTTCATATGTGTTTTTTTAAACACAAGTTAGAATACTACCAAGTTTCTGTAATGGTACGTCTTCTTTATCTGATACTTATAGGTATTTCAATTTTCTGGCCGTCTCTAATAAATGTATGGAGAATACAACAAATCTCCAGTATCTTCGAACCGACATTGAAATAAGCTTCGTTCTGTTTTTCATATTATTTGAATAAAAGCAGGAAAATGTATTCAAATAAGATCATTTTAAGTTCATTTGATTCCCTCAGGTGTTCTTTTTACCTTGAATTTAAATCTGCTAAATGAAATAATAACTACAGTTGCTTGTCACTGCTGATATGTTTATTATCAGGGGTCTGTTGTTCAACTTGTCGTTAAACTAATCATATGATTAATTTTAACGAGTCGTTAAAAGTTAATCGCATGATAAGAAATGCAATGATGAAATTTTGTTGTTTAACAAATTTTAATAATTTTATAAGTTAAGCACTGTAATCATTTTTAATCATATGATTAATTTTGGGTAATTAGCAGGTGTTTCCCACAACATACACAATGCATTGTAAATCAGGGCCTATAACATCCTTTTCTGCTTTAAGTTACCTTCTCTTCTCCTTTTTAACCGTTAACCATTTATGCTCCTCGTCTTGCTGACTTGTTTCTTTATATATATGAATCTGACTTCATACAGCAACATCTTCGGAAGAAAGAAAAGAAATCAGCAGTGTTCTTTAACTTCACTTTCCGCTACATAGATGATGTCTCTGACTATATAATTTAAAATTTGGTGACTATGTTGAACGCATCTGTTCCATCGAACTTGAAATAAAGGATACAACAGATAAAGTAAAGTCTGCATCATATCTCCACTTACCTCTGGAAATTGACAATGATGGTCGGTTGAAAACAAAATATTACGACAAAAGAGATGATTTCAGCTTTCTAATTGTGAAATTTCCATTTCTGTTAAGCAACATTCCAGCAGCCCCTGCGTACGGAGTATACACCACCCAGTTGAGACCATATTATAAGGCTTGTATTTTCTATTATGATATCCTTGATAGAGGGCTGCTGCTCACAAGGATTCAATTAAACCAAGATTTCCAAGTGGTGATGTTGAAATCGTCCCTTCGTAAATTTTCGCACGTCATCACCAGTTGGTTGACCTTTATGGAATATCCGTTTAACAAATGACAACGGATATGTTTCAATTGTCGTAACAACAATCCGGTCCCCCTTTTCCCTGAATGTGGCCTACCTTATTAGACTTGTCACCAGGTTTGTACTAACATGCGCAACACGACGGGCGCCACATTTGGAGCAGCATCTAATTACCCTTCCGGAATACATGTGTTTGGTGGGGTTTTTGTTGCCAAGTCTTTAGTTTTCTATGTTTTGCTTTTTGCACTATTGTTTGTATTTTCTTTTTTAGCAATGGCATTGTCTGTTAATTTTCGACTGGTGAGTTTAAATGTCTCTTTGGTATCCTTCGCCTCTCCGTTGCATACATTTTACATGTTTTATCTTTCAAGGAATTTGAGTGTTTTTGATAGCAGATAATTTGAAGTCTTTGTTTAGTATATATATATATATATATATATATATATATATATATATATACATCAACATTATAATGGGTCCTTCAAAAACCTGTATTTTCTGTTGTTAATTTAGTGCAACTCGATACAGATTCCACGTATTTTGGTTTTGATAATTGATGAAATCGTCGCATTATAACATCCGTGAACTATAATCTCCGTTGACGCTTTGCTGACATGGCTGAGGATTGCTTTTTTTCACGTCTGCATTTCTATCAAATATGGCATGCCAAGTTTTAGATAATTATAACGAATGATGAAATAAATTTAGAACTGTAACAATACCATACATTGGTGGCTACTAAGACTGGAAAGTTGAACTTTGACGACTAAAAGATGCATACCCTGCCTTCAGCTTTCAAACAAAGAATTAAAACAATATCAAAGGAATACATCGTGTATCTTCATGGGTTGTTTGTCTCATGATGATGAAGATGGATGAATGAATAATGTTCAGATGAGATACTATTTAAGACTAGAACATGTTAATGCAATATGAATATTAACCCTAATGTGTACCAGACTGACTGCCTGAGCCTGATTTTTGACTTGCATGAGGTACACAAGGTAACAGTGCGCAGAAAGACATATCACTCTCCTCAGACCCATTAGTATGACTATGAGCCGACTAGCCTATCCCCTTATCCATCAATATCGCGTGATTAGCTGAATCTCACCAAATACCAATTTCAAAGTCTTTGGTTTGATCCGGCTGGGGTTTGACGGTTAATTTTGAGTGTTTATCAAGTTTTATCTCAACTGTAACGATTACTTCTCACATAACGGTAGAATATTACATGGTGAAATTTATATATTGAATACTACATGTAAATACTATAGGGATGCTGCATGCTCTTTATGCAATTTATATTTATCATGTCTTACGTAGACCTTGTTTGCGTTACCGGAGACATTGGAGAAGTAGTGTTCAGTGTTTTAAAATCAAAAATATATTGGCGATATGAATGATTGGAAAGTTTTGTGTTTCATGAAGATACTAGTAATAGGCCTCCTACCTATAACCACACGGAGTTATACGACTTTTGTTGAAAAATCCCTGTCTGTCTGACCTTAGGTTTCCCATATTCTGAGTAACAGGTTCTTGTCTTTGTATATCGTGTCAGCTGAGAAATATGAGACTTTTTGTTCACTATAAATTATACTTAACCACTGACATAAAATATACAAAAGTAAATTGTCCTTATCAATATGTTAAGCCTGCTGGTAGAGAGCTCTCATTGTATCCATCTTTGGCTCATAGTTTTTACTAAATGAAAATAACTATATGATAAAAAAAAAACTACGCAAAAATATTATCATCGTACGATCCGGAGTATCTGTGGGCTGAATTTTCCCATTAGAATGTACCAGTGTTAGCAGTGAGGTCAAGGGCGTTATAAATTGTTCATATATTTGAACTTCGAAAAACGGGAAAATTAGTAAACTTGCTTTGGAAATCACTTATGACCTGTACATTTATGCTGTAGAAAGATTTCTTATTAAAAACAAACTGGTTCGCCATAATTTGTTGAATTATACCGAACAACAATGAGTCCATGTTTACAATCAGAAATGCTCAGAAAGCGATAGCATACAACCTGCCAAAATGTGCAATTTCTTTCTGTTATCAGATTTACGTTGTATGAACCTCTCCGATCAATCGCCTTGCCTCGTCTAATCCCTTTTCAATGTATGTTTCAACTCAACTACTACCAAATTTATTGTGTTTCTTTCAAATCTAAAACGCATTCAGAGCTGATCATTGCTCAAATCCAATAGGGGATAAATACCTCTAAAATGTCTCACTTTTCGAGTCTAAACCAATTTTTTAATTACTACAACAGCCATATTGGATGTTTTACTCATATAATTAAAAATTAATACACCTTCATGGATTTAATTTTACGACAGGTTTAGCATTTTTAACACCGCATTGAATTCAACGACAGGTTGAACAACACTCTAGTCATATGATTTCTATATTATAAACTGCCTTTACCAAGTCAGAAATATGACAGTTGTTATCCATTTGTTAGATGTGTTTGAGCTTTTTATTTTGCCATTTGACTACGGATTTTCCAAAGAAGTCAAATGTTTCGGTATCGAAATGAGTACGATACATTTTCCAACCATTTCCCGGTGATAAATACAGAAACTATCTAGAAACTAAGGTTCTTACTCCCTCAGCATGCTCAGATAAATTTTACTTTACATAAACATGGTTTTTCTTTAGGTCCCTATTACTCATATAGCTCTCATGTTTCTTTGAATTAATACATCCTGGTCTTTGAAATGGTTTCAATTGAACGTTCCTGGTGTAGGTAAATAGCTCCGAACGCAAGATATTTGTTTTCATTCAATTTGAAAGTTTCGTATATAAACGCTAGGGCTCATGTTTGAATGCACGGTAGGTAATTTTGAGTAAATTGTCCCGCAACTAAACATGAACTTTATAAATATGTGGCTTAATTTTGACTACACATTCAATATTCTCTGTGCTTATGGAGTACGACCTACCACCGATCAAAAAACAAATACAGTTAACGATAATTTACTATCAAGATGACAACAGACTTTTAAATCCTTATCCTTGCTTTTACTCTGACAAAAATTGACGAAAAATTACATATAGTTGCCTAAATCCATATTATAAGATAAAGAAAAAGTGTTTGAAACACTTCGGCTCCATCCCTATGGCGTTTACTAACCCTCTATGGATCCGTACGGGGTCAGTAGCAAACCATATAACTTATAGTATTGCCATAAAATGTAATATTTTTGTAACATTAAATCTGCTTTTCTCTGTAGATTATGAGTGTCCTGTCGGATTTGTAAAATGCAAAGACGGGCTGCAGTGTATTCGTGCTTTTTCCATGTGTACTGGAAATTTTCTTGGTTTGGGTTCAGAGTGTAAAGATGGTTCCGATAATGATACAGATCATTGTTCAGGTATAAATTTGTGAATTATTTAAAATGGTTAAATGTAATAATCAACGTTATATGTTATGAAACGTTTCAGACTGGTTCTTATTGAAAAAGATGAAAAGGAGAAAATGTTCCTTCGAAAACGTATCCTTTGCCAACAAAGGTCCCGATAAAGTAAACAGGGACAATTTGCATCTCAAAAAATTCCAGAAACAGAAAAAGAAACGCAGTTTATTTTATATGCTGTGTCAGTGTTTATGAAAATATACCACGGCAAAAAAAAAAAGAAAAATAAATATTGTCGCAGAATTCAAGCTTTTAAAATACATCCTTTCTATTGATTATTTTATCTTATTCATTTTTTGGTTTTTTTGTTCTTTTTTTTTAAGTAAGAGAAAAACAAATTTTATGCAGTTTGAGTAATAATAACATTTATGCTATCTTTAATATCAACGTTCAACTATAGTATGTACTGACTGATTGTAACTGTATTTTGTTTGGTTTGTTGTGTTGATCCTAAGCTGACTCTTTGGCATATAAACCATATCAGTCATGTAGATGTGTAAACAACATTGCGATCAAGTTTGGTGAATAGGACATAAAACAAAATGAAATGAAAACAAGAGAGAACATATTTCTTTAAACAAATTGACGCTAAACAGCTATAACCCTAGCACGTGATTAAGCTTCTTATATTGTTACTATGTGTATAACCGCTACAGAATTATGTTTGAAAATTCTCGAATATTAAACGACTCATTTGAGTGCACAGTTAACAAATAAAAATACATTTCGGTGCTCAAGACTCCTGGATTTTCAAATCCGGAATAAAACAATATTGCATTTTTTATCTAAATGAGTGATATATAGCCCTCATTTTAAATAAATACATTCGCTAGACACATTCGCAGGCAGTATACACATAATTGATATAACGGATCGATTTGCATTAATTGAATATATTTGTTTTATTCACACTAAAGTGTGTAAAATGATTCTGTTACCTGTCACTTCGTGCGAATCTGAAATGCATGTCTTTTGAAACTGTGTTTATGTCCAAAAATTAGTAATTTATCGAACAGTTATTTATTTCTTGATATTGTAGCTTACGAATGCCCCGTGTACTTTGAAAAGTGTCCTAATGGTCATCAATGTGTACATCAGTCAATGATTTGTTCTGGGGAACAGATGTGTGATGGCGAATCAGAAGATGAACAACAATTTTGTAAAAGTAATTCATTAATTAACTTTTTTTTTATAAAGATGAGTATTTTCAATCGTTACAAGTAGCAGGGTTAAATGCAGGACTACTTCACATTTCACGGTTGACAGAAAAGAGCTATGCCAATTACCAGACATTCACTTATATTCCATTTCCTACTGAAGATAATAAAACAGATAAATAAGTAACTAATATGATGTGAGTAGGAATGTATGTATTTCCTGTCTGGAATAAAATCACTAATTCATAGCCAAATTGCAATTTTGTCTGAAGTTCAAATAAAGTGGCAGTCATTTTATAATAAACGAACAATTTTCTGACTTGTACTGAAAATCGCAGTGATTTCCGAGTGTTGGGAAGTATAGAAACATGTACTTCTGATCTTAGCAAAAGACCAAATATCATTTCATCATTTCATACATTTATTTCTTTATTCAAGAGCTTTCAACAAATGTTCTTCATGTATCTCTAACCCTTGAGCTTTTATTTGATATCAAAGCTACCTAAATGTTTTATTTTTAAACAAAGTAAGTACAGGTATGCGTAGGAACTATTTTCTTTTTAAAAAAAACATCCTGTATGTTCTAATTTCTTTGATGTTCTTTGTAATCGGATCCGAATGATGGTTGTACACTTATTACAGAATCAATCTTCCTAGTATATTGTTTTTTTTTTACTGCACTTAATTCATTGTATCAGATATCTTTAACAACCATTTAATTTCTCTAAAATCGCCATTTTTACCTATGTTTTGTCTTATCTTGAAAACTATCATCGAATGATAGCCACTTTAGATAGCAAACCTGACGATCACCATGACTGCGTATAGGTCGAGAAGTAGAGTTGAAAATGTTCATCACATTCACCGAGCTACAGGAAGGACTAGATAAAATAACTTTACTGCAGTTCCCAATTGTCGAATCTAGTAGTCTTCTTTTTGTCCACTGAGAGGAGTTGCAAGATGAGGATTGTTAGTGATAATTGCATAGAAAGAATTGAATGATTAGGATGATTGAAATGTTGGTTAACAATTACACTGTACTAAGTGTTGCAAATGACAGTTGTTATCCATTCGTTTGATGTGTTTTAGCTTTTGATTTTGCCATTTGCTTATGGACTTTCGTTTAGAATTTTCCTCGGAGTTTGGTATTTTTGTTATTTTACTTTTTGAATTTTTGTTGATTTCTGATCAGTGGCCGCACGTAGGTTTGTTAAGCCTCCATTTCGTTTGCCCGACATATACCAATCCGTGAAGGTAACACTCTAATCCGTAGACGAGATTTGTTGATTTACAATTCAAATCATCGGAGCTTCTGGTAAAATAAGATTTCTTAGTTAAATTGCTAGTGAATTGAGCATCTGTTATTTAGATTGTACAGGTCTTGCAGTTTTTGGTTTCACATTTTAATTTGAGACAGCGATGTTCAGATTCATTAAAATCGAAAATGTAAGAGGTTTAAAATAATCTAATAAAATAGAGTATGTTAGGTGTATTTTGGAAAAAAAACAAGGGTAATGCTTGGTCATCTACGGCCTGTTTTTTTTTTATTATGCTAGTTGCGTGAATGATTCTGTTGTAAACAAAGTGTCTGAGGTACATTTTTTTTCTTTACATCGGCTTATCATTCCGAAGTTCCTAGGATATAACCCAGATTTTAGTGGGGTTTCTGATTTTTAAGTTTTCCATGTTTTGTTTTTATAGACTATTGTTTGTCTTTGGTAATTTTTTCTTTTTTTTTATTTCTTTTTCAGTTTGTCTTCGACTTGTGAGTTTAAATACCCCTTGGTATTTTCTATCCCTCTTTCTCGGTTCGCATCTTTCAGATATGTCTTTTTGTATGTATGCCTGAAACATATATTTAAAGATGAAACAAAAAAACATCATCCTTATCTTATGTTAACTGCACATTGACAAATTAAAAATGAGTACATGGAATGTTCATGTTGTTGTTCAATTGCAGCACGCAGCTGTGGTGACATTATGTCGAAATGTGATAATGGATACCAATGTGTGCTCAATTTCAAGACATGTGATGGTGTTGCAGATTGTGCAGATAGTTCAGACGAGAATCCAGACTTATGTGTAGAGAGTATGTTTATTTGAATCGAATTAATCAATGATTGATATTATATCAATAAAACAAATGATAGCCGAAAGGTTCAAGGAATGAAAATGACTTTCGATGTTCAAAAAAACCTAAGATAACTTTTTTTCATTTATCAAATAATTCACAGATTAATTTCCATTACATATGTTTTCATAATATAGTGTGTGTTGTGTTGCCAAGCATATATTTAAGTTGTCTTCGATTTAAGCATTTATAGACATTTAGAGAATAGAAATCATTTTTTAAACATGTTGTTATAAGATTATTTCCTTGCTTTACGTACACTACCTCAAACAAAATGTACTATCACAAGTGGTTGCATGTTGAAATGTTGATATAAACACACAATAAATACTAACAATCAAAAGAAACCACAATAAATACTAACAATCAAAAGAAACATAATCAATGAATAATTTTCTAGTATTGTTATTCTAGTGTTAAATGTATATAAACAAAATGTATATGTCAATAAATCTAATCAGCTTATTATTCCCTGGGTATTCAGTGGAGTTTAACAGAGTACGTCAAGAGAAGCTTGGAATCTTGATGGTTTTTGTATCAAGCAATATTTGATGAATAAAATTATAATGTTGAACAAAATAAATAAATAAATACTCGTGTAAAACTGACCATGCATTATTGTTTAAAGTAAAGATCAAATGATTATAAGTTTTAGAAATAATTAAATTGTTAAACAAAATATTAAGCACATAGTTCATGAATCATATACATGTACGTTAGACCTACATTAATATTCGGATAAGTATTCCTCAAACAGCACATATTTACAAAGTCATTATTTACAGTATTATCATATATAATAAAGTTTGTACATATGTTAAACTGTAATGGGACATCAGTCAAAGGGTTTAAGATACATACACTTATTCTTACTTCTTTGCATCTTTTTTAAAGATCGTATCTGTCCAGTTGGAATGGTGAAATGTGAAGATAAGGTTCAGTGTATTTATGAAATACAGTTTTGTAGTAAATATCCTGACTGCAAGGATAAATCGGATGAAAGCCCAGAGATTTGTACAAAAGGTAATTAAAGATATTTTATCATTTCAAAAATAAATGCTAGTTTTAGTATGCAGTACTAATAATTTTTACACATTTTAAGCCTGTTGTCTTTGATGGTTATTTTTAATTGTCTATGCCGTTTTATCATATTTTGACAAGATGTTAGCAATACGGTTTTATAAAACATTGAACATTGGAACGTGTGTGTCGGAAGACTTACAGAAATAGATATTGAGCAAAGACACTGTGCACATATACCAATTACGCAAATGCTTTTATTATATTTCATGTCAAAATGCCAGATTTTGATTGGTTAATACGAGAGAGACAATTTACTCTATCCCATGGCAAATACTATACTACCCTTCACGGAGACGCTTGCTCAAGTGTGCGCTTTAATAAATACGGATGATTGTTGTAAGACGACATAGTTTATTAATTTGAATTTGAAATTTAATAGACAGTAATAACAGAACATTCAGTATACTTGATTGAATAACACATACCTGAGAGGGTGATAGAGTAGATTGTTACCCCTCGAAAAGACATTGTCATGACAATGTTTTCTCGGGGTAACAATCTGCTCTATCACCCTCTCAGCTATGTGTTATGTATATAGTGTCTGTCCTCTTGGTTTATAAATCTTATATACTTAGAAACAATATACCAACTTTACCTTTATATGGGATATAAGTTTCCCAACCCATTCCGTATTCAAGAGATTGCAGCTGCTAGTTATATTTTATAAAACGTCATTAGTGTCTAAGCAAATAGTTGATGAACCAGGGTAATTTCAAAGAATGTTGCGTCCTTTTGAAAGAAAAAAATCATCGATGGATTCCAAGACCTAGTTGATACATATTTTATATCAAATTCACCAATAATATATGATGGTCTTGAAGTTTAGATTATAGGTACTGACTTTGTTCATCATCTTGATAACGTGTTATAGTGATTTTTTTTTATTTATCTTTGTATATATTCTGTGGTCTTGAAGTATAGATTATAGGTACTGACGCTTGTCATCATCTTGATAACGTGTTATAGTGAACTTTTTATTTATCTTTGTATATATTCTGTGATCTTGAAGTATAGATTATAGGTACTGACGTTGTTTATCATCTTGATAACGTGTTATTGTGACCGTTTTATTGATCTTTGTATATATTCTAATATAGTCCAATATAATATACTATTGTCTTGTATTTAAACATCAAGCCATTGTGTTATTGTGAAATGGAAATTTTTGTATAGTTATCTTTCATTTATGCTAGGGTACTTTGTCTACCGAGTGTATATATATATATTTACCGTTTTGTGTTTCTTTGTTGAAATAGTTATTTAATTTTAATGTGATTAAGATTGAATTACAATAATTGACTGCTGTGCCTCAATTTGTGACTCTTTTACCTATTATTTCTGTTTGTTTTGCTAACACATCGTTCTCAATATAATATACTTCTATTCAACTATCCGTTGTCTACAATATGAAACGCAGGTCAGGGAAATTACAACCGCTTTCCATTTGGTTGATTTGTTTTAACTTTTGATTTTGCCTTTTGATAAAGAATTTTCCGTTCTGATTTTTCATTGGAATTTGGTATTTTTGTTATTTTACGTTATACTTTTTGTTTTCTGTATGTTTTCTTTTTACCAGTGTTATTTCCATGTGTATGTTAAGGTCGTTCATGGTATATTTTCTGGTTTTATAATGTTATTGTATTCATGTACTAATGTTTTGCATTGGCGGTTATAGAAAATATAGATATTTATTACGAAGAACAAACATTACCGAGTTGATTACAAGTGAGGAGGGGATCGTGTAATGAGTATATAATTTTAGACACAACTATAAGATAAAGACTTGTATTATGTTCTATTTGTCCTAGTATTAAAACAGCACCAAACAATAAAATTGAGAATGGAAACGGGGAATATGTCAAAGAGACAACAATTTGATCAAAGATCAGAAAACAGGCCCCAGGCCACCAATGGGTCTTTAAAAGCTGGTCCCTCGACAAAAATGAGTACTGGTTCAGCAAAAATGGACGTCACTAAACTCCGAAACAAACAAAAATGAACTAATAATTAAAAAAAAAAACAAAAAAAACATACAAGACTAACAAAGGCCAGAGATTCCTGACTTGGACAGTCTCAAAAATATGACAGGGCCAAACATGTTTCGGTAGATCTGAACCTGTCCCTTATACCTCTAGCCAATGTAGAATAAAAGAAAACAGCAATTCGCACAGTAAAACTCAGTTTGAAAGAGGTCCGAGTCTGATGTTAGAATAGGTAACAGAAGAAAGCAAGTAAAATGACAATGATGCATAAGTTAACAAAGGACTACTATATGTAGCAGATACTGACAAGTTCTTTTAGCTTATATTTGATACCAGGAATCGGGCTATTATTATTGTTTTTAGGAGTAACACGTTCTTTATGTTGAATATAACTACGTTCATGACTGAAATAAACAAAACGAATCTAAGGACTTTACGTCAGATTTTTCTTGTTTTATCCATTTCGTCCAGTAAATAAGGAGTGAATCGCGGATGATGTTACAACACTCATTCCAATTGATAATTTACTGTGGACGATATTTAGGTCCTTAACTGAGGAATAATTTCAACTCCCGGTCATGCACGATGTTTACGTCTCCCGTTATCCATAAATGTTTTTGTAATTACTGCAATTGCATGACTTATGTGTATGGTATATTAAAATATATACGCTATTTTTACAGACAGAGCTTGCCCTACTGGAATGTCTAGGTGTTCCGCAAATGACCCAAATTGCATATATGATAGTTGGTTCTGCAACAACCAACCCGAATGCGAAAACAGAGAGGATGAAAGTCCGAATAGTTGCTTTAATCGTAAGAAGATATTTAAATTAACACATGTGTACATAAAGATGTATTTTACGTATATACATGTATAGCATGCCTTACATCGAACTTATTGACTGTTTATGTGCAAAAAGAGGCAGATTTGTTATATATCGACTGCATTTACCCACTTCGTTCGTTTGGGTTAAATTTGAACGGTGACAGGACTGGTGAATTTGAGCTTATCATTTTATATTTACTCAGATGTGCGTAAACTATAAGTCGATTTTTCTTTTCATTTTTTGTTTCTTCAAAAAATGAAATACATGATATGCAAAGTTTCTCAAATATATAAAAATGCAGTATAAGGTTTAGACTTCCCCCTTTTTAAATTGATCTTGGAGTTTGATTGTGTTGTTAAGACTTTGTTCAACCCATCGTGTTCTTTTGAAAATGTCTGTTCAGAGTAAAAAATATAAAAGTTCGTTTCTGTTGGCTAATAAAGACTAATGTTTGATTTTGTCAAGTTTGATAGGTTTCTCCCTCTTGAAATTACTTGAGAGTTCGGTATTATTGGTCATACTTAATTTACTAACATGTTTTTAAAATGTTTAGTATTAACAGTACATATTAGCTGGTACTGATACTTTTTAAGTGATTGCTTGTTCATGACTAATTTTCTATTTATTTGTGTGCATGACAAAAAAAAAGTTTTCATACCATTACTTTAAAACTGATACGTAATGCAGTGTCCATTAAAAAAAGGGAAGATCGCTGTATGTAATATACATTCAAGAGTCCATCCTAAATTAAGGTGCTTTATAATTACCGTTTCGATTCCTAACATCGATGAAGAGGCATTATTTGTCGAAATCCGGATATGGTGTACAAAAACCTTTGCACCTTTTGTTTGCGGTATATCATCTTTTCCGCAAATTTATTGTTTTCTGTTTAGTATTAAATTTAAAATTAAGATCCATTTATTATATCGGTGATCCGTTTATTTGGCAATCGCCAATGGCAGTCTGCAGGGTTTAAGAACATTTGTTGTTAGACCTGTTAGTCAAATGCGTGTTGTTAAAATATACTTTTTCCACTTTTTTGGTCTTTTTGAAAATGTTGTTTGTGCTGTATTTAGACCCCTCTAACAAGAAATTTGTTTTGCATGCGCACGTATAAAAATTGCGGTTTTTATCCATTGCTATCATAGGTTTGATCGTTGCTTTCAATTAAGGCTTGTATATATATTATATATGTATATGTGTAGATTATGTCTATTTATGAATTTAATGTCAATCGCATATTTTTGAATACTTTCGTTCGTATTTTGTTTTTTTTATTTTCTAAGTATGCTGTTTCGTTGTAGTATACGTGTACAATGTCAAATTTAACATTCATGAATGATACAGAATACCAGAAATCATTTGCATCAAAAAACGTTTCAATTTATTACTTTATATTTATTAGACATTGTATGTTTTTGTTATTTTATCTTCACAGGTCCAAAAGGATCCAAGAAATTTCCGTGGTTGACATAGTAGTTGGATTGGATTTTTGAGTAAAACTAACTTGCTTTCATCATAAGACGACAGAAAAAAATGCATTATGTTATACATACTACATGCCTTTACTGTGCATGTAAACAGTGTGGATTACAATTTGGTGTGTAGAAATTTTGTATTGAGATGTTATCATCATATGATAATAAAATGATGATAAACCATGGCATTGTCAAATTTCGATTAGTTTAATTTGTATCGCTAGAGAAAAGCCATTGGCGTTACCATCCATTGCTAGTATGTATTGCCTTAATGACGATAATAAAATCAGATGAAAGTCCCCTTTACGGTGGTTGCTATTGGTATTTTACCAAAAACAGATAATCAACAGCAACATCTGCATTAAGGGTACAAACGTGAATTAGGCTATAACATTGTCAAGTCTGTTTCTTTTTAATCTTCTTGTGTTTGCACAGTCACCATTTTTTTAAACGGAGGTTAGGGCATATATTACTGGTTACACGAAAAGAAAACAATGTTGAATGTTGAAGACCTATTGGTTGCCTTCGGCTGCTTTCTGCTCTATGTTCGGGTTGTTGTCTCTTTGACACATTCCCCGTTTCCATTCTCAATTTCATTTTAATGTTGATCGGATTAAACCTTTAAGAATATTTTGTTTTTAAATTTGAGTTTAACAGTACTTGTATATGTTAACATGTGCCCTAGTTCAATGTACTACGTTTTCATGCAATCCTTATTGTTACCATTTCTATTGACCTTTTTGCATGTATATATGCTGATGCTCATTTCAATAAAGGTACCTCTTCTCAAATGGAAGTTTTTGGATTTAGAACTGTTACGGTGGATCAACGGTATATATTTCCTAAAATATAATTGTTTTATGCTTTGCCAAAATGAAAATTTTTCAATGCTTTAAACAAAAATATAATAAAAAGAATGGGTCACAGTGATATTTTTCAATCTACAAGTCGTACAAAATTGCTCACATTTGTATAGATTTTTCATGAAAAAACACATTTTTGTGAATAAAAAGAAATATATGAGATTTAATTTCGAAATAAAAATATGAGGAGATAGGTTTTATGATATGCTTTAAGAAAATAAAAAGAAAAAATGATGTCACCGAACTTGTTTTCTTGCTACAACTATACAATTGTAATTTCACTATCATTCCAGTATTAAATGTTTACTATAAGAGTTATCTACCCTTAAATGGCCAAGTTTCAAAAATTGATTCTAAACACATAAATATTTGGTTTTGTTTGAACAATGTTGATAATGCAATAAACCAATTATGTTTCTTTATACATATAAGCAGTGTGACACATAAATTATAAATCTGTCTCAAAATTTGAAGGTTTAGGCAAAGAACTAGACCGATTGTGTACTGCTATTGTACAATGCAAGAAGGCAGTATACAGTGAATCTACCGTAATGTAACATTTTTGGCGGACATTCAAACATTTGAACTCTTCCCTCGTATGTTTTTTTTTTTTCTTGAAAAAAAAATGGCAAGTTATACAGTCATTTAACGTTCGGGTAGACACTATTAATAGACTTTTGATAAAGATTGGCTTTGTTGATTTAAAAAAAAATATATACATATATATATATACATATATATAATGATAACAAAGTTCAATGTTTCATATATCAATGAGGCAGCAAATCTAGTAATGCCAAAAAGGAATTAAAACTGATACAGACACGGTTAAAGTCCAAACACTCAAAAACAACAGTCAATAATAAAAAAGAACAAAGAAAAAGACAAAAAAGTCCACACAACACTAAAACAATAAAGGTCCTAAGTCAGGAGCCTGTTGTTCAGTGGTTGTCGTTTGTTGGTGTGGTTCATATCTGTTTCTCGTTTCTCGGTTTTTTTTTTGGTTTTTTTTTTTTTTTATAGATTAGACCTTAGTTTTCCTGTTTTAATTGTTTTACACTAGTCATTTTGGGGCGCTTTATAGCTTGCTGCTCGGTGTGAGCCAAGGCTCCGTGTTGAAGGCCGTACTTTGTCCTATAATTGTTTACTTGTTACACATTGGGACTTGGATAGAGATTTGTCTCAACTGCACTCATTCCACAGCATTTTATTTATAAAGATTTAGCAACACGGCCCAGATCAAAAACCGGTGTTGAACAGGTGCTCTGAAACGATCCGCAGCCTCTTCCCCACGTATAACAATCATGGTGCTGCTAATTTTAAGTGAAAATAAGCTGGTAACTCTTGAAAAAGAGAACAGTATTGAGAGTACGACAATTGTGACATATCCGAGAAATCAAATATTCCATAACCGTCATATTTTGGGAAGGTATGCTTTCAACTTATCAACAGCTTCAACATTGTTCAATGTGATAAGAAACACTCTATAAAGGTAATAATACATCTAGCACCAGAACATATTAGCGTAATGTAAAGTATACGTAATTGGGCAGATTTAGATACACAACTAATCTATGAACTGCATCTGTATACGAAAAAAGACACGAATCACATATTCCTCTAGAGATTCAACCAATTAAATATTTGTGAAAAGGACTATCAATGTATAGAATGTAATAGAAATTAAACGACGTAAAATATGTTTTGTTCTACTGAAATTTCGAATGTTGAAAATCCTTTTACAGAATTTTGTTTTATATTGACATGTCATTGCTTGAAAACAAATCCGTTGAAGTGATTAAAAAGCAGGTAGCATTTGAATTCTTTTGTTTCTCTTCATAAAGTCAATAGACCTCAATTTCCCTTAATATTTTAGTCTTCAAAAGTACAACATAAACATACGTTATATTTTTTTTATGTTTCTACATATAAATAAGAAGACGATGTATGAGTGCTAACAAGACAACTCTCTATCCAAGTCAAAATGTATAAATGGTAAACAAGAATAAAGTAAAATAACAAAAATACCAAACTCCGAGGAAAATTAAAAACGGAAAGTCCATCAAATGGCAAAAAAACCAGCTCAAACACATCAAACGAATGGATAACAATTTTCATATTCCTGACTTGGTACAGGCATTTTATGATGTAGAAAATGGTGAATTGAACCTGGTTTTATGGCTAGCCAAATCGTCCGCTTATATGGCAATATAAAAAATACCGCAAAAATGACAACGTTACGTGACAGGAATACAGTACAAATAAACGCAAGAACACTCAGGACAAAGAAACACGTAAATAAATAATATGATAGTACACTACAACATGTAAACCACAGCATAACAATGGACACGAATCCACGACAGCACAACAGGACATCACATACGAATTATAAACTGTGCGTCCCACAAATATATCAACAGCACAAAAAGTGACGTATTTTTGTGACGTTTATATTATCACGGGTAAATTTCTAAAATTAGAAGCGATTTGTTTTATTATAGACACGTACAAGAATATAAGATTAAGTTTGTAATGATGTATAGGTCAAAGTACGGCCTTCAAGACAGAGCCTTGACTCACACCGAACAGCAAGTTATAAAGGGCCCCAACATGTTTAGTGTTAAACAATTCAAACAGGAAAA